CATGTAGTAGTTTTTATGGTCTTCCTCTGTAACCTATATGTATCAGTTTAATTTTCCAGGCCAACTACGATCCTAGAAAGAGGAAGGAAATATTATTTTGCCTTGACACTCTCATTGCCTCATCTTTCATAGTCACTCCTCTTAACTTCTTAGAAGAAAGGAATACCCTTAGGGTTTGGGCTGTGATGCTGGCTGCGAAAGATTTCACACCTACAAGAAGTTATGCAGAGGGAAAGTTAATTTTACTTTCCAAGGGACCAAAGGGCCAAGTATTGCCAATCACTCCAGGGCAAGGAAGGAAAGTGTGGCTTCTGCTCTTCAGCAGTGGCTGGGTTTATGTGTTTTTTAAAAAATATATTTTATTGATTTTTTACAGAGAGGAAGGGAGAGGGATAGAGAGTTAGAAACATCGATGAGAGAGAAACATCAATCTGCCTCCTCCTGCACATTCCCTACTGGGGATATGCCGGCAACCAAGGTACATGCCCTTGACCAGAATCGAACCTGGGACCCTTGAGTCCACAGGCTGATGCTCTATCCACTGAGTGAAACCGGTTAGGGCTCAGCAGTGGCTGTTGCTAAGGGACAAGGAATGGACGGCCTTGGGCTCAGCTGAAGTTGAGTAGCTATGAGGGGCTGTCTTAAAAAGTTACAGTTTGTTTTCTTTCCAGGAGACCGTATTCCAGATGCGCTAAGGAGGTGTCTTATCAGTATTTTCCCCAAGCCTATAAAATATGACGAGAGCAACAGCTACGAAGAGGTCAAAAGAGGCTTGTTTGAAGAGAAGGAAACTTTCTACTAACTAGAGACGCCTTGGTCCAAAATTTCCCAGAGGTGTGACAACTGCAGGAGAGAGGGGTCTGTAAGACTGAAGCATTGAGAGTAGCTTATCTTGTTCAGCAGTTTGAACTGAGGAGCTGTTTCAATTAGAGGAGCCAACAATCTTGCGGTTTAATTAGCAGCTGCTTCTGCTAAATTGTGGAAGGCCACAGCAAAGAAACAGACCTTTTTCTTGTCCTTACAAATACCTTGGCCACATTTAGAACCTAGGGCTTTATTGACCTGAAGAGTGACTCCTCCTAGGGACCAAATAAAGGGACACCAGCAATACTGGGGGCATTGTGTTCAGGAGGACATCAGCAATGGGTCCCAGATTTAATAAACCACTCATTGAATTTCCTCCTCATCCCACAGGTTCTAACTCCCCAGTATGGACAAAAATGATGGCACACAGTAAACTTAGCAAGCTCAGGGGGCCTGGCATGGCATGGGCAATCTTGCAAACTCAGAGGCTAAGACGAACCATATAGGATGCTTTGAAGTTAAAACTTTCCAAGTAAAAGCTAGTCACCTGGGTATGTATGTACTAGCCTGTTTTTTTGTTTGTTTGTTTTTGCAAAGAACAAATTTTACCTTACTGAACCTGTCGTCTTTTTGCATCTCGGATAACATACCTTTGGATTTTTATGGACATTTCTGTTTCACAGACTCCTAAGAGAACAATCTCCTAATGCAGAAGATCACAGAGCCCCAATTAGTGTTGCTCTCGAGTTAAATACTAACTGTTATACTAATCGATAATCATGTAAAAATAAGTGTGTGTCTATTTTTTTTTATTGTTTACTCAATACCAGGGATTTCTCTCCTTAGCTCTCCCCTCTAATTTATCACCAGTGGATGTCATGTAATCCACTTATGTCCTCTCCTTTGATTCTAATGTATAAAAAAGGTGCGAAACTGCCATTCTCCTGAGCGTTACTCAACCTGTTGTTATTTTGCTTTCTGGCAAATGTCATGACTAGGGTCAAATAAACTAAGAAAAATTCTCAACAGGTTTGGACATTTCTTACAACATCACCAAAAGCAATTGACTCCTGTGAAGCAGGAGAAGGTTACATGGAGGGGTATCAGCATTTCCAGGGACTCAACTGACGGAAGACAGATATATAAACACAAATGTAGAGCAGACCCAGAACCCAGCAAGCTAGAGCTTTCCCCTTGCTTTCAGACAACAGAAGAAAATGCTCAAAGCCCAGATGAATTTGTTTTCCTGTGTGTGTGCATGTTTTTAATCCTTACCTGTGGATGTTTCTTTTTCCACTAGCCCCACTTTCCTTCTCAGATTCTGCAGTAATTTCCAAGCTTCCATGTCTCAGAATCCACTCCATCAGTTTTTTTCTTCATTAGATTCCAAATGTGAGTGGGATCAAGTGATACTGTCTTTCTCTGACTGACATATTTCACTTAGCTTGATGTTCTCCAGGTCCCTCCATACTGTGTGAAAGGGTACGAGATGCTTCTTTTTTAATGCTGCATAGTATTCCATGGTGTAAATTACCACAGTTTTTTATCCACTCCTCTACTGATGGGTACCTAGGCAGTTTCCAGACCTTTCCTATTGTAAATTGCTGTGAACAGAGGGGTGCATACTTTCTATCTGATTGTTTCAGATTTCTTAGGATATATTCCTAGAGGTAGAATCACTGGATCAAATGGCAGTTCCATACTAAATTTTTTGCAAACACACAAACTGATTTCCATAATGGCTGTAGAAGTTTGCATTCCCACCAGCAGTGAAATGGGTTCCCTTTTTTCCACATCCTCCCCAGCACTTGTGCTTTGTTTATTCTTTTAAAATATATATTTTTATTGATTTTTTACAGAGAGGAAGGAAGAGCGATATAGAGTTAGAAACATCCATGAGAGAGAAACATTGATCAGCTGCCTCCTGCACACCCGCTACTTGGGATTTGCCTGCAAACAAGGTACATGCCCTTGACCGGAATCAAACCTGGGACTCTTCAGTCCACAGGCCGATGCTCTAGCCACTGAGCCAAACTGGTCAGGGCATGCTTTGTTTATTTACTGATGACAGCCATTGTAGCAGTGGTGAGGTGATACCTAATTGTTGCTTTAATTTGCATCTCTCTGATCATCAGTCACTTTGAGCATTTTTTCACATGTCTCTTGGACATCTTATCCACATGGCAGCTCAGGCAGGGCTGACACTTCCAGTGGCATCAGAAGCAGATGCTCTTAAGTATGAGTGTCTGTTTTGTGACATAAACTTTGTATAATGGATTCAATGGAGGCAGGTTAAGGCAGTTACAGACTTGAACAACCTCCTCCAGCTATATATGGCCTGAAGGAGACACATGCCAAAAAAGTCATGAATGAACAAACAATGAATGCCATTCAGAAAGAGCAGGTACTGCCCTAACTGGTTTGGCTCAGTGGATAGAGCATCGGCCTGCGGACGCAAGGATCCCAGGTTCCATTCCGGCCAAGGGCATGTACCTTGGTTGTGGGCACATCACCAGTGGGGAGTGTGCAAGAGGCATCTGGTCAATGTTTCTCTCTCATCGATGTTTCTAGCTCTCTAACCCTCTCCCTTCCTCTCGAAAAAAATCAATAAAATATATTTTTTTAAAAAAGAAAAAAAAAAAGAGCAGGTCCTGTAAGAAAGATATTCAAAACCAGCCACAGATGCATTAGAAAGAAACTTTCCCCAGGGATTACCTCCACTGAAGGCGCTAGAGGACCCCTAGTATACTTGGTGTATTTGGGGCTATTTGCCCCTGAATCCTGGCCTTTAGTCAACTCAGAAATACAGGATCCTGGCTTTGGAGCGTAGAAACTACATTACCCACAAGGCCACGCATGGAATGCCACCAGGATGAGCCAATGGGGACTCAGATAAGGCATTTCCGTTTGGCCGCTCCTGTAGGGCGGGACTAGTAGTCCCCTTGGCTGGTTTTGTCTTCTCAACTTTTTGTCTCAGTCGCTCAGGATTTTCTGGTCGCACAGTCCCGGGGAGAAGGCTGGAGAGCGGTGCTCCCCGACACACAGCCAATGGTGGGAGGCTCCAGTGGTGCTCACGGCTCACAATTGGGATTAAAATTCGGAGCCACAACCCGGACAGAAGCAGAGCCGGGACAGGGTCCGCCATTCCTGCAGCGGCTTCTACTCCCGCCCGGCTCAGCCCACAGAGGGCAATGGCGGCGCCCCGGCTGAGGAGACGGGCTGAGGTGAGTTCCTGTCTCCCGGGGTCCCCACCGCCTCCTTATGCTGAAGTGGACAAGCCCGGGGAGGGCGCCTGTCCCGTCCTGCAGCTCAGTCCCGCGTGGAGGACCGTGAGGAAGGTGGAGGGGAGAGGAGTGTTGTGTCTTCTGAGGACACAGCAGGTGCAGGGCAGAGAGGACAGGGGTGACTTGCATCTGAAGGTCCCTGAGGATGTGGCTGTGAGTATTGTCGGAAAGATCAGAGGCTGCAGGGAGGACGGCACAGACTCATTCGGGGCTTTCCCGGCTGTGGGTCCATCAGGGGCCTGGGGTGGTCCTGGATCCGGCTGGACTACAAGCTCTCTACACGCCATATGCCAAGTTCATGGGGGAGTCCAGCGAGATCCAGTGGCATTGGAGCCGGAAGGGGGCAGAGCTGAGGGAGTGAACCTGGGGTCTGAACATGGGAAGGGGATGAACATTACCCAGTGGTGTGCACATCTGGAGGAAGTGTGAGCTGATGGTCCCGGGACCTGGTGTGGGGACTCAAAGGTGAAGCATAAACCCACACTTGGCTTTGTCTTGGAGGCAGGATCTAGGAGACTGCAGTGGTGTTGCTTGGCAGGAAGGCTGGGGCCCTGCAGGATCGCCCAGACCTTAAATGGCATTGCCCTCTCCCCTCTCCTCCTCCAATCCTTCCCACCCAACCCAGCTGCTCTGCTGAGGGCCATCACAGTGAGTAATGGGACTGTGATGAGAGAGAAGCCTGCACTGGCATTAGGGCCTGGTGTCCACAGTAACCAGGTGTCCTGGCGGAGGTTGAGGGGGGGAAGATCTGTAAGCCGTAGGATTACTGGTTCTCAGAAAGGCAGCTCTGGTTTCAATTGTCTCCATTGTGACAGGTTGGCGTGACCTTTGAGGACATTGCCCTGTACTTCTCCAGGGAGGAATGGAGCCTCCTTGATGAGGGTCAGAGACAGCTGTACCTGAATGTGATGCTGGAGAACTTTGAACTTACATCCTCGCAGGGTAAGACCCTCACTCTCACCAGTGACCTGGACTTGGCTTTTCTATTTCCCAGGCCCCATTCCCCAGGGTGTGCTCTGTCCTCCCAGGTAGACTGTGGTACTGATTGATTTTCCAGTTTCCTGAGTAGTTGCTGTCCTAGGAAGGGTTGGTCTGTTTCTGCTGCTCCCTTCTATTCCTGAAGTCCCAATACTCCCCGCTGCACTAAATTCACAGGGAAGGACTTGTGGTTGGTAGTGTTGCAGGAAGGTAAGGGATTCCACCTTGATTAATGAGGAAAGTATTTTCTATATTCCTGTTGGTCATTTGTACATATTTTTTTAAAAATTGTCTCTACGTCCTTATCCTATTTATTAACTGTATTTTTTGGTTAAAAAGTCTTTTGAATACCTTGTATATTTTACATATTAATATCTTGTTACATACTTTTTATACGTGCTTAATTGTGCTTCTTGGGTAGTACTCCCCCACACCCCCTTATTTATAAGTTCCATGTTTTAGGCAACCCTCCGTTCAGCAGGTCTAGTGCCACCATTTTTCTAGCAAGCTCAGATACTTGCTACTAGTGCTTAGCAGTAAAAGTATCTTTTTTAACTTTAAGATATGGTTTTTATTGAACATGTATAGAATTCACCTTTACATTTTATTATAAATATTTTACATTAAAAAATTAGTTTTTGTAAAAAAAATAAATAAAAAGGCAGGGGGTGGAAGGGACATTTCCTATATAAAAATGGTGGTAATTCTCCAAGTATTAGAACACAATACTAATGGAATCACTTCAATAAACATTTTTGCATAAACATGTACATGACTCCTCACACTGTATCAGATGCCACAAGAACAAATGAATGCACAAAATGAAGGTAATCCCCAACATAAGATGTATTTTTTAAAAATACATATTTTATTGATTTTTTTAAAGAGAGGAAGGGAGAGCAATAAAGAGATAGAAACATTGATGAGAGAGAAACATCGACCAGCTGCCTCCTGCGCACCCCCCACTTGGGATGTGCCCGCAACCTAGGTACGTGCCGTTGACTGGAATCGAACATGGGACCCTTCAGTCCCCGTGCCGATGCTCTATCCACTGAGCCAAACCGGTCAGGGCATAAGATATATTTTTAAAAAGATAATATCAAACTGAATGTCCCCGAAATGTCTTCCTGTGCATGGGATTTGGTCAATGACTAACATCAAGAGGTGGACATACACATTTGCAAATGCAGAGCTTGTAGTCTATGTAAATTACAAAATCTATCAGCTGTGTCTTATGGAGGAGGAGATTGAAACCACCTACACAGCCATTAAAATATACTGCGTACATAGGGCGGAGGCAAAAGTAGGCTTATAATTGTGAGTAAGAAAAACACCAGTTTCTTCTTGTATTCTTTTTTTTTTTAAATATATTTTATTGATTTTTTACAAAGAAGAAGGGATAGAGAGTTAGAAACATCGATGAGAGAGAAACATCGATCAGCTGCCTCCTGCACACTCCTTACTGGGTATGTGCCCGCAACCAAGGTACATGCCCTTGACGGAATCGAACCTGGGACCCTTGAGTCCGCAGGCCAACGCTCTATCCACTGAGCCAAACCAGTTAGGGTTCTCCTTGTATTCTTAATTTTTTTAATTTTTTTTTACAATTTAAACCTTTTTTTATTTTTTTTAAATAAATCTTTATTGTTCAGATTATTACAGTTGTGCCCCCTTTTTCCCCCCATAGCTCCCCTCCACCGAGTTCCCACCCCACCCTCTGCCCTTACCGCCCCCACTGTCCTCATCCATAGGTGTACGCTTTTTGTTGCCGGGTCAAAGGTCATACACATGGAAAATGTAGCTATTTCCATCCGTGACGTGTCCCTGTGTTCAGAAAGGTCTCTCACAACTTCTTCACGCTCTACTCAGAAAGGGTACGGAGACACGTAACGGCTTTTTAAAATAATGTGTCCTCTTATGTTTAAAATGAGGATTTCGTTACCAAAAGTGAGGAGAAAGCAACACTACAGCTGCTCTCGCCCCTTTCGTCCTTGGGGTGATAGTTGTGCATGGGGCTGCGCGCTGGTTCTCGGGCCTTCGACAAAGCCGTCTGGGTGGCTCTCGAGGTTCCTGCCCTTGAGTGGGAATTTAACCCATGACCCTCCAATACACAGGCCAGCCCTCTCACCACTGAGCAACACAGGTGTATTTATTCTATAAATTATATTAAAAATATTTTTTTTTATTGATTTTAGAGAGGAAGAGGAAGAGAGAGAGATTGAAATATCAGTGATGAGAGAGAGTCATTGATGGGCTGCCTCCTGTGTGACCCACACTGGTGATTGAGCCCACAACCTGTGCACGTGCCCGGGCAAGGAATTGAATTGTGACCTCCTAATTCAGTGATGGCGAACCTATGACACGCGTGTTAGAGGTGACATGCGAACTCATTTTTTATATGTGACACGGCACCAGAGTTAAGTTAGGGTTTTTCAAAATGCTGACACGCCGAGCTCAAAAGGTTCTCCATTACTGTCCTAGTTCATGGGTCGATGCTCAATCACTAAGCCATACTAACCATCCTTTATTTATTGATTTTAGAGACAGGAAGGGAGACAGAGAAAGAGAGAGATGGAAACATTGATCTGCTGTTCTACCTATCTAAGCATTCGCTGGCTCTCCCCTGCATGTGCCCTGATGGCGGATCAAACCCACAACCTTGGTGCATATAGGGACCACACACTCACCAACTGAGCTATCTGGCCAGGCCTCTGAATTTGTTTATTAATTTCAGAAGCTCATAATGGCATTTTGACAAATTTTTCTATGGAGTGTCATGTCACCTGCTAACATCAACATCTCATGATGAATTGTGGTTCATAGTGTCAAGTGTAATGTCTTTTCATTTCTTTACAATTTATTTGAGGCTTGGTTTGTTTGTTTTTTTCTGCTAGTTTAGTTAAAGTTTTTTCCAATTTTGTATCTTTCAAAAAATACCTGTTAGGTATTATTGTATTTTGTCTTTTCTCCTTTTATTTTTGTTTGTTCTAATATTTATTGTTTCTTTCTTTTCCAACTTTTGGGTTTACTTTCTTGTTTTGTTTCTAGTTTTCTGAGGTGCCAGTATTTTTGGAGATTTTTTTTTTTCATAATGTAGGTCATTTATCCCTATAAAATTGCCCCTTAGAATTGCATTTTCTGAATTTTATACATGAGCTGTGGTAGGCTGTCTTTTCATTTACTTTGTCTCTATACCTTTTTCAGTTCTCTCTTTTATGTGGCTCCCCTGGAATTCTCATTTATTCTTTTATATTCAGTTTCAGATAGAGAGGAAGAGAGATGGAGAGAGAGATAGAAACATCGATGATGAGAATCATTGACTGGCTGCCTCCTGTATGCCCCCTACTGGGTATCAAGCCCACAGCCTGGGTATGTGCCTTTTACCGGAATCAACCCTGGGATCCAAGGGTTGCAATCGAAGGCCTATGCTCTGGCCACTGAGCCAATCTGGCAGGGGCCATTCTGTAGTTTTTTTTAAAAAAATATCCAGCCCTAGCCAGTTTGACTCAGTGGATAGAGCATTGGCCTGCGAACTGAAAGATCCCAGGTTCGATTCCGGTCAAGGGGACATGCCCGGGTTATGGGCTCCATCCCCAGTGGGGGACTTGTAGGAGGCAGCCAACCCATCATGATTCTCATCATGGATGTTTCTATCTCTCCCTCCCTCTTGCTTCCTCTCTAAAATCAATAAAAGTATATATATATATATATATAATTTTTTTTTTTTTAAATTCCAGTATTTTTCGAATAACAGGCCACTATGGTCAAGGATAGCAGAAGCACAGTGGCTGCTGGAGGTAACTCTGACCCTTGTTTTTGACTGTAGCTGTCTTTAAATATGTTTGTTCACCCAGGCTTTCCAGTCATTCTTTCTATGCAGTTGTCCTTATTTGGTGTCCTGTAATACTGTTTGTCTTCATTGTACTCTTCTCATTTCCTGTGGGGGTTTTTTATTCATGCATAGCTGTCTACTTACTCTGGGGATGGGGAAAAATTCTCATATCTCTGATTCTGCCATCTTGCTGATGTCACTCACATAGGTCTTTTGCCTGTGATCTCATCTGTGCTTGTTGTTGCAATGTTTCTTTTGTGATTTCTATCATTTATGCTGTGTAATGGATTGACTGGAAATTAAATGGAAGAATCATTTTTTGCATCACAATAGAAACATGACTTTATGAATGAAACAATATAAACACAGGTGGTTTTGCCTGAATAAAGGGCTGTAATATAACACCTGGGCTTTGTTACATTCATAACAAGGAACCCATTTGGTTCTACAGTGTTTTGTACCATTGCCCATTCTTCACCCAATTCTTCTTGTTCTTGCTTCTTGTTGACATTGTGCCGACGACACAGTTTTAATAGTGATCAGTGCTCATTCTCCTTGGATGCCCAGTCCATGGATAACCTAACCTCTCTAAACTTTCACAGGTCTCTCTTTAGTGCCCTCCACCGTTGGTCCATGCCTGCAGAGCCTTAGAGTGCACACCTATTACTGTATTGAGGTAGAACATCATGTGCTCTAATACAATTGATTTTTTATGGGTTTGAGCACATTTGAATTGTTCTACCCAGACTCACTTCACCAGCATGAAAGGTCCTAAAGGAAGCCATTTGTGGAGGAACAACTAGCAGACCCTGCCTCTCTTCTTTTTGTCCCATCCTGTGCTCTGTACCTCCCTTGGTGAGATTTTCACCATTGACTGACCTTTGGGGCCAAGAAATGTATAACAGCCATTTTCTCAGAATCTAACTCATTTGTCTTGAAAATCTTTCTATGGAATCAAGCCTAGTCAAGACAGATAAACATCTGTGTTGAAGATATTCTGTTTTCATAAGGTCAGCATGTACTTAACCAGCGTTTCCTTTTGTTCAGGTTGCTGCTGTGGAGCAGAGAATGTGGAGGCACCCACTGAACAGAAGGTTTCTGTAAGAGTGTCACAGGCAGGTATTCCCAAGTTACCCTTGTCTTCTGAGGAGAGCCACCCCTGTGAGAGATGTGGGCTAGTCTTGGAAAAGATTTTCCACTTGACTGAGCAACACAGACAGATACTGTTGAGGTGTGGGGCCTGTGCACAAGGATTTTATTTCAGTACAAAATTTCACCAGCAGCATGTGAGAGAGAAGACTTTCATTAGAGATGTGGACAGGATCTCACTTGCAAAGAGCTGCAATTTCCAGGTGTCCCAGAATCATGTCACCTGTGGGGAGGTGGGACAGGGTGTCCTTACTGAGTCAGGACATCTCCACCTAAAGGCTGCTGAGACCAGCGATAGGCCAGAAGATATTTTGAAATGTGAGGTGAAGTTTCAAAGGAGAAAAAAATATAACAAAGTCATTGGCTGCAATCACACGTTTATTCAGGACAAGTGTGTCCATGCTGGAAGTCAGTGTTTTCTGTGCTGTAAATGTGGGAATTACTTTACCAAATTTTCTAGCTTTCATTATGAACATGGAGAAAAGCCTTACAAATGCAGTGAATGTCGGAAATCTTTTACGACGATGCATAGCCTTCATTGTCATCAGAGATTTCACACTGGAGAAAGGCCTTATGAGTGCAGTGAATGTGGGAATTCTTTTACCAGTAGCACTGCCCTTCATCGTCATCAGAGAGTTCACACAGGAGAAAAGACTTACAAATGCAGTGAATGTGGGAAATCTTTTAAGAGAGTTGATAGCCTCCATTGTCACCAGAGACTTCACACTGGAGAAAGTCCTTTTGAGTGCAGTGAATGTGGGAAATCTTTTATCAATAGCAGTGGCCTCCATTACCATCGAAGTTTTCACACTGGAGAAAGGCCTTATACATGCAGTGAATGTGGGAAATCTTTTACAACTAGCAGTGAACTTCATCGTCATCAAAGAGTTCACACAGGAGAAAAGCCTTATAAGTGCAGTGAATGTGGGAAATCTTTTACAAGGATTGATAGACTTCATTGTCACCAGAGATTTCACACTGGAGAAAGTCCTTATGAGTGCAGTGAATGTGGGAAATCTTTTACCAGGAGCACTGCCCTTTATTGTCATCAGAGAATTCACACAGGAGAAAAGCCTTATAAATGCAGTGAATGTGGGAAGTCTTTTACCACTAGCACTACCCTTCATCGGCATCAGAGAATTCACACAGGAGAAAAGCCTTATAAATGCAGTGAATGTGGGAAATCTTTTATGAGGATTGATAGACTTCATTGTCACCAGAGATTTCACACCAGAGAAAGTCAGTACAAGTGCAGTGAATGTGGGAAATCTTTTACCAGGAGCAGTGATCTTCATCTTCATCAGAGAGTTCACACTGGAGAAAGGCCTTATGCGTGTGGTAAATGTGGGAAATCTTTTACCACTAGCAGATACCTTCTTTGTCATCAGAGCTCACACAGGAGAAGAGCCTTATAACTTCAATGAGTGTGAGAAATCTCTTACCAGGAGCGATCATCTCCTATATCATCAGAGATTTCACACCGAAGAAAGCCTTTATTAGTCCAGTTAATGTGAGATATCTCAGCCAAATTTTTTAATTGGCTATGCACAAAAGAAACCAAATGTGAGAAATATCTTAGATGTGTAGGAAATGTTTCTTAGTTCCATCTTAGCAATAGTAAAAGAAAGTTTGTGAAGTCTCATTAGTCTGAATTGTATCTCATACATTTAATCACCTACATTATGAAAAGTCCCCTCAAGTGACTTTGTTGTTATGTTTGTTTATGTTGGTATCATATGAATCTATGTTGCACATTCTAACATACAGAGATGTGTTGCCAGGTCTATGTCACTGCATATTTCTGTTGCTGAAGGTATTTCACCTGAACCACCTATACGGTCCCTACAGATGGCATCAGTCACCATTCTCATGTGCCCAGGAAAGCTAACTCTGTTGTCTAATTTGTTGAAGAAAATGAGGAATACCTGAGCCCTTGGTTCTTGTTTCCCTGTCATGAGCTGCCACATAGGACTGATTACTATTGGCGCCAGTAAACATGATGTTGCAGAGGGACTGCCATTTTCAGGGACACACTTTCCCTAGATGCTAGTGATGACTTTATTGAGTGCCTCAGTCATCAATAGAAGAACTGCCGGACTCATGTCTCTTTGGTTTGTAAAATAATGAAGGCTTTTTCCTAAGACTTCTTTAATCTTGGGTGTGCTGTTTACTATATGGGTTAGTTTATAATGAGATCTGCGCTTTCCAAGCATGGTGAGGTGAAAAACGTTTATGGGGTCTGAAATATTTTTGCCCTTGGGGGAACATTATGGTGCAGAAATTAACTTAGCAGTTTTTGCCAAATTTACATTGCTGCCCATATTTTCCTAGGAAACACTGTGGACTCTCTAGTCCTCATGTGAAGATGGATGCTTTGAGACACAGAGATCACTCCAAAGAGGGGGTAGCTGTGACAGCCTCAAGTAGGTCTTCTTGTAGCATGAATTTATTTCTACTTTTCAAGGGATGACAATACATTTGAAGGGAATCACTTGCCCAGGTCTTGCAGAGGGCCATGTGCCCTAATGCCTACAATTTCATGGGTGTTGGTCACTGGTTTGAGGACCATCGCAAGTAGGGGAAACCATTTCACTGCAGAAACACAGACCTGATTGTTGGACAAGAGTGTAGCCCATTAGATCAATGGTCCTCATCTAAACGTGCATCCGGGCTTTTTTTTAAAAAGGACTTCAAGACCTGTGTGTACACATATCTGAGTGACTCCAGGCATGTTTATCTTCTGTGGAGCAGTCATTGTCATTGAATGTAATCAAGAGCTTCTGTGGCTTCCTGTAGCTTCTCTTATGTTCTCATCAGAGCCATTGGTGCTCTGGTAGCAAAACCAAGATGAAGAAAAAGGCTGTCTTTAGTCCAGGGATGTGGCTTTTGTGACCTAGTCAGCATTCCAGTGGGTTTGGGTGAAAGTTCTTACTTGTTTGTTACATTTTCTGTCACTGAGATGAGACTCGCCCAGAGGGCATAAGAATGTGGATTGAATATAGAGTTGCCAAACCTGTTGTTCTAAAATAGGTGAACATACATTTGTTTTATCTTGAACCATTTTTGAAAAACTATAATGAGTAAATGACATGTATTAAGTATAGAGTTTCATACATCTTGACATGTGCATGAAACTGTAACCATCGTTATACTCATAATACTGACGATATCTGTCACTGTGTAGTTGCTTCATGACCTCTTATAATCTGTCCCTGTTCTTTACAGCTTTCCTAGTAACCATGGATTTACATTCCATTTTCATAGAGAACTTTGGTTTTTCTAAGCATTTTTGTACTTTAATTTATGTTTCATGAATACTTGGAGATTTAGTTAAGATATATAAGTAACTCATATTTTTTTCTGATAGATATTCTTATCATTGATATATCACCATAGTTTGTCCATTTTAATAAATATTTGGTTATTTCTAATAAAGCTGGTACAAACATTTGTGTACAATTCTTTATATGGATATAAGTGTTATTTACCTTTGTCAAAAATTCAATGCATAATCTGAGTTTTGGGCTAGATGAATGTTTAAATTTACCAAGATTAGCAAATTGTGATCTGAATTGAATGTACCACCAGGGCTGGTGTGGCTCAGTGCTTGGGCATCATCTCGTGCAGCACAGGGTTGTGGATTTGATTGCCAGTGGGAATATGTGTCTGCGTTGTGGGCTAGATAGATACACAGAAGTGGGTGTGCAGGAGGTGGCTGGCTGATATGGCTCTCTCCCATCAATGTTTTTCTCCCTCTCCCTTCTCTCTCTAAAAATTAGTAAAGTATTCTTCAAAAATAAAAAGCAAACCTAAACTGATTGTATTTTTTTGAAATTTTCAAGCAGTGTATGTGGGATTTACATTCTCCACATCCTAGAGAATATTTTGTTTGGTCAATCATTCTTTATTTAAACATTTTTTTCCCTAAGTTTTTCATGCTACCTTACTGTTTTATTGTATTATTCTAGGTATTTATGGTGGGTCTTTTCTCAGATGTATATTTGCTGTATCTATAGCTTTGTTAAAACCTCTGTTCATATGTTCTGCCTAATGTGCTATGAGTTTTTGCAATTTTCTTTAACAAAAAAACAATGGAATAACAAAGATGAATGTTGGAATTTCACTCCTTTTGTGCCTTTTTTTATTTTGGAAATAAAATGTCTTTGTTTTGGGATAATGTGTTTTAATATTTTATATGTTTAAAAAACATATTTTTAGAGAGTTTTAAGATTTTTTTATTGATTTCAAAGAGAAAAGGAGAGTGAGAGAAAGATAGGAACATCAATGTTGAGAGAGAATCATTGATGGGCTGCCTCCTGCGCTCTGCTACTGAGAATGGACCCCACAACCCAGGCATGTGCCCTGATGAAAAATAGAATGGGGGCGGGGGGACTTTTTGTGCATGCATCTATGCTTAACCACTGAGCAACACCAGCTGGGAATTTTTTAGGTTTTAAATTCTATGCACAATGCAATGAATACTTTTAATTTTAACCCCAACTACTAACATCCTCCATCACCTTCAGAAAAGCAACCTTTAGAAACATTCTCAGGACAGGAACCCTTCACTTCCCCAATGCCAACAGTCACCATTGCTTTTAAAGCCTTTTGAGAAAGAACTAGGGCCTTTCTGAACCCTTTGATCCATCTGCAGGGAGGCAGTACTGTGATCACTGAGGTCTCCATGTTGAGTCTCCAACCTGGAATCTCCAGGAGACTCACTCCAGCTCCCTGCACTTCAGTTGTCTCATTGTGACATGAAGGTAATAACAGGACTTCCCTAGGACTCTGGGGATCAAAAAAAGTGACAAACAGTGCTTTCCTGGGCCAGAGTTTGCTTTTTGAGCATTTTCTTTTTTAATCCTCACAAAAACCTGGGAAGTCTAAACTAACATCGAGCTGTTGGGAACATCCACAATTACAGAAATGAAGATTTTCCAAGTTTACTTAACAATGCCAGGACTGGCCCACAGACCCTGAGTGATGGATGAATCATTACTCTGACCCACGTTTGTGTGAAAGAGAAGGCTAAGGGACAGCCTGGTTATAGGAACCAAAGAGCCCTGTTCGCCTGCCTCCTTAGGCTTTTATTGTAACCACAGCTTGAGCTAAAACTAAGTGTTAGATATTATCAGCAGGGTAAGCATCCTTGAGAAGACACATGCGTCTGCAGTGTCCTTTAAGCAAGGACATCTAAAGACTAAGCATAAAGATCTTGTAAACACCAGGTGCTCTCACATACACTGACTTGCTTCCCCGTATGTCCCCCTATTTTGTTTTGCTGGATGTACAAGACAGAGTGAAGCAGCGAACATTCTGCTTTGAATGTCAGGGTCCTCAAAGCACATTTACTTCTCAAGTTCTGATTTTGAGGACTATAAGAAAAACAAAGAATTATAATGACACTAATGGTTAGTCCCATTAAGAAGACAGGGTGCTTACAAGCATTAAATCCTGCCTTCTAGCAAGGTGTAGTGGACAGGATTATAAAGGGGAAGAGACCAGGGTGAGGAATGTAGCTACCTGCAGGCCCGGGGGTCCTTAGATGTCAGCTATTGTAATTAGTCATCAGGCGATGAGATGATGTTTTGACTTCTGGTGGGTTGGTCTGATACTGCTTATTGGTTCTGCTGGCTGGGTTCACAGTTGAGTCACCTTCCTAATTACTTCACACAGGCCTGGGAAAGAAAACTTTAAGAAAACCTTAATCCTCTATTTACATATAAGAAAATTGACCCTTTATTCACATAAGTATATGTATGCTAAGATTTAAAATATGATTACTTTTTAAGTTAATTCAGGTGCTCTATAAAATTTGTTACTATAATTTTCTTTTAAGATTCCCTTCAGAACCCTTTTATCACTTCACAAACATTTTTTTAAGGCTATGTTTAAATTAAAAATATATATATTTAAAAAAAGAGTTCCTCTGGGCCCACTACTGCTAGCAATAATGAACAGGACTCCAAATAAATTTGGCTTATTGATTAAGGCATCTTCTGATTTACAGTATAACAAAGGGAGGAGTGACCTCTAGGATTGGACAAAAATTAAAAGATAGACATATACTTCTTTTCCATAGGTGGGTATGAAACTGGACAACCAATGGGTCTGGTCAGCCTGTCACTACTTGAGTCAATTAAGCCTAGACAGGGTTGAATCCTATATGAATATTTATTCCAGTACTGCTGGCAATGGGAGGGCAGCAGGTCATCCACAAAAATCTGCTCTGCCACCCACATACGCCAGCTGCTTACGTGGGGTAGGACAAAGATCACATAAGGATGCCTGGCAGGCGTGGCTCAGGATTCATTTCCCTGGCAGACACATGTGAGGGAATCACTAGTGTGCAGTGTGCAGGGGGCAGCCAATCAATGATTCTCTCTCATCATTGATGTTTCTGTCTCTCCCTCTACCTTCCTCTCTGAAATCAATGGACCGCTTTCTAAGGTTGACTCCCAGGTCCCGGGAATGTAAAACTCTCAGCCAGGTTAGAATGTCCTTTCTTTAACCAGAAAGAGGCAAACACAATTAATGGAGGGTGATTAATATTTCCTATAACCTTAGCTAGTCCCCAATATTATAGTTTTCCCCTAGCAGGTACAGGATAGTTAACAGTCAGCAATTAACATGATGACAATAACAATGAGGGGGGAACTGTTGCAGTGCTTGTGCTTTGAGGGGATGGGGGGGGGGGAGAGGGGGGGGGTTGTTTGTTATTCCAAAAGCATGTTATCAATTATGTTATTCAATGTGTAAATAGACAAGAGATAGGCTAAGTTAAGATGAAGATTGACGTTTTGTTAGGGAAAAATACTACTCAAGGATGTGATGACTCAGTACGAATTGCTTTTAGTTAGAAAGTTTTATTTTCAGACTCTCCTGGGTGGTTACCTTAGGTCTCTGAGTTGGTAAGGCTGCCACTCAGGCCTCCATGGAGACTGTCAGGTATAATATGTGGCCCTTTTTTGCTCACAAACTCTCCCACTTTTTCCAAAATTTATTTATTTTGACGTTAAAATTATAATGAAACAAGAGAGTTGCATCTTTTCTATTTCAAAGGCTGGGCCTACATTCTTGTGTTATATTTGTCAAATACATATACTAGGGTGTAAGTAGGTCATCTATGTGATAAAATTTTTCAGACTCTTTAATGCAGGCATGTCTCTTTAATTATGACTGCTATATTTGGATCACAGATAATGTGTATGTGCTTTTAAATATGGTTTTTAAAAAATTGATATCAGAGAGAGGAAGGGAGAAGGGAGAGGGAGAGACAGAGAAACATCAGTGATGAGAGAGAATCATTGCTCCCCTGACTCCTGCACGCCCCCTACTGGGGATCAACCCCGAAATGGGCGTGTACCCTGACAGGTCATTGAACCATGACCTCCTAGTTCACTGGTCAACACTAAACCATTCAGTGACAATGGCCAAGCCAGATAATCTCTTTTCATCAACATGGACTCAAGTCCCTTCACCAGGAAGAGATGACAGCTTTCTGTAGCCATTTTCAAGATGTCTCTCTCATGAGGACGTGACATTTCATAGCCCCTCCAGTGGCGATCTCCGTGTTTTCTACAGGAGTGATGGTGGGGGAAAAAGAAAAAGAAAAAAAAGACCCTGATCACTTACTTGGACTCAATGACTACATTACCCAGAACACCATGTGGGGGATACCAACAGCTTAGCCAATGAAGGGTCAGAAAAGGTGTTTCAAGGGGCGGGACTTCCTGCATCCTCAGAGCCTGCATTTTGACTCCATCCAAACCTACGCAGCTGTTGTTGCGGAGCTTCCAGATCGCTGGGTCCTGGTGGAGATGGCCCGACAGAGAAGGCAGGAGAGTCGTGGCGCACACAGCACACGCGCGGGTACGAAATGCGGTGTCCCCGCCCGGGTGACCCGCTCCCGGGCCCGGAAAGGGACCCCCCTTCCCTCCGCGGCCTCTGCTCCCGCCGCTCCCGCCCGGCTCCGCACACAAAGTCCGATGGCGGCGCCCGCCTGGGGGCGCGGGGCTGAGGTGAGTGCGCGTCCCCCGGGCCCCCACCGCCTCCTCACACCCAACGGGACAGCCCGGGTGCGGGCGCCTGTCCCGTCCTGCAGCTCAATCCCGCGTGGAGGACCGTGAGGAAGGCGGAGGGGAGAGAGGGGTGTTGTGGCTGCTGAGGACACAGCAAGTGCAGGGCAGAGAGGACGGGGGTGACTTGCATCTGAAGGTCCCTGAGGATGTGGCTGTGAGTATTGACGGAAAGATCAGAGGCTGCAGGGAGGACGGCACAGACTCATTCGGGGCTTTTCGGGCTGTGGAGACTCTCAGAGGACGTGTGGTCCTGCATCCGGCTGGACTATGGTACAGTCACTCTCGGATACCATATGCCAAGTTCATGGTTGATCTACTGGGATGGAGTAGGAAGGGGGCAGAGCTGAGGGACTGAACTTGGGGTCGGAAGAAGGAAGACATTACCCAGTGGTGTGCACAGCTAGAGAAAGAGGAAGTGTGAGCTGATGGTCCCTGGTACCTGGTGTGGAGACTTAGGGGTGAAGCATAAGCCCCGGTTTGACTTTGTCTTGGAGGCTTGGTCTGCGAGACAGCGGCTGGGGCCCTGCAGGCAAGGCCCAGAGCTGAGATGCATGCACTCCCAGGCCCCAAACACTCTGCTCTTGCTGAGGGCAGTAACAGTGACTAATAGGACTGTGATGTGAAAGCAGCCTGCACTGGCCTTAGGGCCTGGTGTCCACACTAAACTGGGGGTGCCCTGGAGGAGGTTGAGGGTGGGGAAGATGTGTAAGGAGTAGGATTGTGGGTTCTCAGAAAGACAGCTTTGGTTTCAATTCTGGGAGTTAAAAATTGGCTGCAGAGTAAGTGGATGCTACACAGACACACTCCCAGGACCAAACTGGAATTACAACGAACATGCAAAAAAAAAAAAATTCTGAATAATCATTTGTCTCCATTCTGACAGGTTGGTGTGACCTTTGAGGACATTGCCCTGTACTTCTCCAGGGAGGAATGGAGGCTCCTTGATGAGGATCAGAGGCAGCTGTACCTGAATGTGATGCTGGAGAACTTTGAACTTCTATCCTCCCTGGGTAAGACCCTCGCTCTCACCAGTGACCTGGACTTGACTTTACATATCCTCATGCCCCTTTACACAGGGTGTGCTCTGTCCTCACTGCTTGACTTTCCAGTTTTTTGGGCCCTTGCTGTTCTTGGTAGGTCTGGTTTGTTTGCTTTGGCCTTTAATTTTTCTGCAATCACAACACCTCCTGTACTGAACTACTTGGCAGGGATTTGTGGTTGGTATTGTGGCAGGTTGCCCAAAGGATTCCACCTTGATTAGTGAGGAAAAGCATTCTTTATATTCCTGTTGGTCATATGTGCATATTATTGGGAAAAATTCCTCTACATCTTTAGCCTATTTTTTTTAAAATATATTTTATTGATTTTTTACAGAGAGGAAGGGAGAGAGATAGAGAGTTAGAAACATCGACGAGAGAGAAACATCGATCAGCTGCCTCCTGCACATCTACTGGGGATGTGCCCACAACCAAAGTACATGCCCTTGACCGGAATCGAACCTGGGACCTTTCAGTCCGCAGGCCGACGCTCTATCCACTGAGCCAAACCGGTTTCGGCTAGCCTATTTTTTAAAAATATATTTTTATTGATTTCAGAGAGGAAGGGAGAGAAACATCCATGATGAGAGAGAATCATTGATCCACTGCTTCCTGCACGCCCCCTGCTGGGTATCAAACCCTATTCAGGCATGTGCCCTATTCAGGAATCGAATCCTGACCTCCTGGTTCATAGGTTGACTCTCAACCACTCTGCCATGCTGGCCGGGCTAGCCTATTTTTTATTTACTTTCAGTTTTTTTATTTTATTTCAAGAAAAATGATTTTATTTATAATGTTACATGCAATAAACATCAATTATTCAAGAAAAATGACCATATATGTAATAATTATAATTCAAGAATAATTATAATAATATTACCAAAATTGTATCACAAAAGTTGTAGGAAATACTAAAAATCTGCAAATAACTGGATTACTTCTATTATATTGTAGAATATTTTTTACCCTCTAACTCTACTTTTGTTCATCAGTTTATGTTGTTCATTATATTCCAAAAATGAGTGAGATCATATGATATTTATCTTTCTCCAACTAGCTTATTTCTTTTAATATGATGCTTTTTTAAAGTCTATTTTGTCGGATATGAGTATTGGTACTCCAGCTTTTTTTGTTGTTTTCCTTTTGCATGGAAAATTATTTTCCATCTCTTCACTTCATCCTGTGTGTGTCTTTTGTTTTGAGGTGGGTCTCTTGTAGACAGCATAAAGTTGGGTCATGTTTTTGTATCCATTCAGCTACCCTACACCTTTTTATTGGAGCATTAAACCATTTACATTTAGAGTTATTATTGAGAGATACTTATTTATAGCCATTTTAATTCTGTATGGCTAGGTTACTTTCTCTGTTTCTTCTTCTCAGCAATCCCTTTAGCATATCTTGTAATGCTGGCTTGGTGGTGATGAACTCCTTGAGCCTTTTTTGTCTGGGAAGCTCTTTATTTGACCGTCTATTTTGAATGATAGCCTTGCTGGATATAGTAATCTTGGTCTCAGATCCTTGCTTTCCATTACCTGAGTACTTCATGCCATTCCCTTCTGGCCTGTAGAGTTTCTGATGGGAAATCAGGTGTCAGCCTTATGGGAACTCCTTTGTAGGTAACAGTTTTCTTTTCTCTTGCTACCTTTAAGATTCTCTCTTTGTCTTTAATTTTTCTAGCCTATTTTTTAACCATATTTTTTGGTTAATGGGTCTGTTGAATACCTTCTATATTTTATATATTAAATTTTATTACATACAGGTACTCACTCTTCTTTTTGCATGTGCTTAATTGTGCTTTGCAGATATTTTAAGGGTTTTTTCTTTTGGTTTTAATATTTTTTTTGACTTCAGAGAGGAAGGGAGAGGGAAAGAGAGATAAAAACACCAGTAATGAGAGAAAATCATTGATTGGCTGCCTCCTGCACAGGCCCTACTGGGGATGGAGCCAGTAACCCAGGCATGTGCCCTGACTGGGAATCGAACCTGGGACATCTTGGTCCATGGACCTGGGACCTCTTGGTCCATGGGACGACACTCAATTCACTGAGCCACCACAGCTGGGCTTGGTAGTATTTTTGTTTTTACAAATTCAATGTTTTTGGCAATCCTGCATTCAGGAAGTTTAGTGTGGCTATCTTTCCAGCAGGCTCAGATGCTGTTGACCAGTGTGAATATAAGAAATATTCAAACCTGGAAATAATTTTTGTGAGTTTATTTGGTCGAAACTTTCAACAGTTTGTAAGAAGCAAAATCTCAAGGCATTGATATAATGCTCCAGAGAATGGCAGTTTTGCATCTTATTTGATACATTACAATCAAAAGAGCAGGCATAGCTGGGTTACATGAAATTCATTGGTGATTGATTAAGTAGGCAGAAGAGAACAAAGTGGGGCTACTTCTGGTATTGGATAAAAAGTAAAATGAAAAAAAAAGTAAAATGATAAATCTTTTACATAGTTGGGTACAGGATATTCAATAATAATCAATATTAATATGATGAAAACAGCAATGAGAGAGAGTATTTGTAGTCTTTGCTATGGTGCATTTGGTTGTGCCCTGAGGAATCCCAAAAAGGGCAGTTACTCTGACATTCCAAAGGGATGTTATCATAAATGCAAAAGATGATAGGGTAAGTTAAGGTAAAGATTCACTTTTGTCGTTGAATATTCCAGCTGAGGACATGTCTATCTGTCATTAACTACTTTTTTTTAAAATATATATTTTATTGATTTTTTACAGAGAGGAAGGGAGAGAGTTAGAAACATCGATGAGAGAGAAACATTGATCAGCTGCCTCCTGCACACCTCCTACCCGGGATGTGCCCGCAACCCAGGTACATGCCCTTGACCGGAATCGAACCTGGGACCTTTCATTCCACAGCCTGATGCTCTATCCACTGAACCAAACCTGTTTTGGCTGTCATTAACTACTTTTAGTTAGAAAGTTTTAATTTCAGACCATCCTTTGTGGTCACTTTAGGTCTCTGAATTTCCCTGAGCTTGTAACTCTGTACTGATAAAGTATTTTTCACACAGAGTAGTTGTGTTTTATTAGCCTGCAGTATATGTTACCTTGTCTTTATTATTTAATTGGAACTCCAAATACTTGTGAGAATTTCTTTCTATATCTCAATATTCACTTTTTGTGGAGATCTGACTGAATCCACAACATCTCCAAGCGATATGTTCATATGACTTGCAAGTATTTTCTCCCATCCTGTAGATTGCCTTTTTAAAAAATATACTTTTATTAATTTTTACAGAGAGAAAGGGATAGGGATAGAGAGTTAGAAACATCAATGAGAGAAAAACATCCATCAGCTGCCTCCTGCACACCCCCTACTGGGGATGTGCCTGCAACCAAGGTACATGCCCTTGACCGGAATTGAATCCAGGACCCTTCAGTCCACATGCCGATGCTCTATCCACTGAGCCAAACCAGCCAGGGCTAGATTGCCTTTTATTTTTATTTTTTTTAAAATATATTTTATTGATTATTGATTTTTTACAGAGAGGAATGGAGAGGAATAGAGAGTTAGAAACATCCATGAGAGAGAAACACCCATCAGCTGCCTTCTGCATGCCCCCTACTGGGGTTGTGCCCGCAACCAAGGTACATGGCCTTGACCAGAATCGAACCTAGGACCCTTCAGTCCGCAGGCCAATGCTCTATCCAATGAGCCAAACTGGTTAGGGCTAGATTGCCTTTTAATATCATGTTGTTAATTGCTGTTGTGATGTGAAGACACTTTTTCATTTGTTGTTGTTTAGACTGTTTAGTTTGCCCTCTTTGCCTGGTGGTGGTTGTCACATTCAGAAAATCATGTCCAAAGCTTTTTCTCTAGGTTGTTTTGAAGTAGTTTTAAGTTTGGGGATTGTCATTTAATTATTTTATGCAGTTTGAGTTTATTTTTTTTCAGTGGTGTCCAGTTTTGTTGTTTTACCTGTGAATAGGCACTTTTACCAGCACCATTCAGTGAAAAAACTATCTTTTCTTTCTTGTGTGTCTTATGGTTTTTGTCAAAGGATACTTGAATGTATGTGCCTGGGTTTATTTCGGTCTTCTCTGTTCTGTTCTGTTCTGTTGGACTGTGTTTCTATGTTTATTCCAGCTACACACTGTTTGGTTGCTTTGGCTTTGTAATAGATTGAAGTCAAGAAGTTTGATGCCACCTGGTTTGTTCTTGCTCAAGTTTGCTTTTGCTCTTCCAGGTCTTTTGGTTCCATACATTTCAAGATTCTGTTTTTGTTTCTTTGTAAAATACCATTGACATTATCATTAGGATTGCATTTAATCTGTAGATTGCTTTGGGTAGTATAGATGTTATAAGGGTATTAAATTTGAAATCCTAAAGCACAGATGTCTTTCCATTTGTTTGTGTTTTCTTCCATTTTTTCATCACTGTCTTGAGTTCAATGTACAGACCTTTCACCATTTTGGTGGAATTTATTCCCGAGTAGTTTATTATTGATTCTATTGCAAACTTGACTACTTTCTTCATTTCTCTATCGAAGAATTTATTGTTAATGTGTAGAAATGAAACTGATGTTTATGTTTTAACTTTTACATCCTGTAACCTTTCCAAATTAATTTTGTCTTTAAAATTTTTAATTTTTAAATTTAGAGAAATGAAGTGTGACAGAGATAGACAGAAATATAGAGGTGAACATAAATCTCTATTCCACTGATCTATGCATTCATTGGTTGTCCTCTGGGTGTGTCCTGAAGGGAGATCAAGCCCACAACCTCAGGATATTCGGACCACACTTTCACAGAGCGAGCCACCTGGCCAGGGCTCTGAATTTGTTTTTAATTTCAGAAGCTCATAGAGGGATCTTAACGTTTTTCTCGAAGTAGATTCATGTCATCTGCCAACATCTCATATGATACCTTGTGGTTCACACTGTCAGGTGTAATACCTTTTTTTCTTTTCTTTTTTATAAAAGCTCCTAGCTAATTTGAACTATGCTTCTTTTTGGTTTTTAAGATTCTGAAATTGATTTTTATAAAAATAGGGAGAGGGATTGTGAGAAACATGTAATGAGAGCAAAACATTGATTGCCTGTCTCCTGTATACCCCCTACCAGGGATAGAACCTGCAAACCCAGCATTTTTCCAGAGCAAGAATGTAATCGGCAAGTTTTTGGTGCATGGGATAATGCCCAACATACTCATCCACACTAGAGAAAAGCCTTATAAATGCAATGAATGTGGGAAATCTTTTACCAGGAGCATTGACCTTCGTCTTCACCAGAGAGTTCACACTGGAGAAAAGCCTTATAAATGCAGTGAATGTGGGAAATCTTTTACCAGGAGCACTGCCCTTCAAGTTCATCAGAGATTGCACACTGGAGAAAGGCCTTATGAGTGCCATGAATGTGGGAAATCTTTTTCCTGGAGCAGTACCCTTCGTTGTCATCAGAGAATTCATACCGGAGAAAAGCCTTACAAATGCAATGAATGTGGGAAAAATTTTATCACAACAGGTCACCTTCATCAACATCATCAGAGAATTCACACTGGAGAAAAGCCTTATAAATGCAGGGAATGTGAAAAATCTTTTCCCACTAGCGATGACCTTCATTGTCATCAGAGAGTTCACACCGGAGAAAAGCCTTATAAATGCAGTGATTGTGGAAAATCTTTTACCAGGAGCACTGCTCTTCGAGATCACCTGAGATTGCACACTGGAGAAAGACCTTATGAGTGCAGTGAATGTGGGAAATCTTTCCCCAGGAGTAGTGACCTTCGTCTTCATCACAGAATTCACACTGGAGAAAAGCCTTATAAATGCACTAAATGTGGGAAATCTTTTATTTATAGCACTCTCCTTTCTCGTCATCAGCGAGTTCACACTGGAGCAAACTCTTATAAATGCAGTGAATGTGGGAAAACTTTATCCACCAGCATTGCCCTTCAAGGTCATCAGAGATTGCACACTGGAGAAAGGCCTTATGAGTGCAGTGAATGTGGGAAATCTTTTACCACTAACACTGGCCTTCACTGTCATCAGAAAATTCACACTAGACAAAAGTGTTATAAATGCAGTGAATGTGGAAAATCTTTCACCTGGAGCACTGCTCTTCATCGTCATCAGAGACTTCATACAGGAGAAAAGCCTTATAAATGCTGTGAATGTGGGAAATCGTTTGCAAGGAACTATAGTCTCCAATATCATCATCGAGTTCACACTGGATAAAGACTTTATGAGTGCAATTAACATGAGATATCTCTCAGCCAAATTTCTAAATTTGCTCTGCAGTATGAGTTCACATGTGAGACTTTTCTTAGATGTGTAGGAAATGTGTTTTCTTAGTTATTACTTAACAATAGCATAAGAAAACTAGAGGCCCGGTGCACAAAATCGTGCACGGGGGAAAGGGGTTGTCCCTCAACCTGGCCTGCACCCTCTCCAATCTGGCACCCCTCAGGGGATGTCCGACTACCGGTTTATGGAGCTGGCAGTCGGACATTTCTCTCACAATCTGGAACAGCTGGCTCCTAACAGCTCGCCTGCTGTCTGTCTGATTGCCCCTAACCGCTTCTGCTTTCCAGCCAGATTGCCCCCTGACCACTCCCCTGCCGGCCTGATTGACGCCTAACTGCTCCCTTGCTGGCCTGATTGCACCCAACTGCCGTCCCTTGCTGGCCTGATCGCTCACAACTGCTCTCCCAGGCCAGCTTGATTGCCAACAACTGCCCTCCCCTGTTGCAACCTGCCTCCTCTGCTGGGACCCGCCTCCTTCGTGAGAGGCAGCGGAGACGCCGGGACCAGCCTCCTCCACGCTGCACAGAGCTGCAGGACCCCCAGGCCTCTTCACACGGAGTGGGCCCCAGGCCCCACCTCCATTGTGTGTGCAGCCATCTTGTAACAACGTTGCACGAGGGCATGACGCCACCAAGGCTTTTATTATATAGGATTTGTGAAGTCTCATTTATCTGAATTGAATCTCATACATTTAAATACCTACATTATGTAAATTCCCCATAAGTGTTTTTGTGGGTTTTTTTGTTTTTCTTTTTATTTTGGAACCGTATGTATCTATGTATCACTTTCTGAAATACTTAGATGTGCTTCCAGATCTATGTCAATGCATATTTCTGTTACTAAAGGTATTTCATCTATACCACCTATATGTTCCTACAGATGGAATCAGTCACCATCCTCTTGTGCCCAGGGAAGGTAACTCTGTTGTCTAATTTGTTGGAGAAAATTACGAAGATCTGAGCCCTTAGTTCTTAATTCTTTTCTGTTATTAGTTGCCACATAGGACTGATTAGTATTGGCCCCAGGAAACATAATATTGCAGAGGAACTGCTATTTTTAGAGACACACATTTCCTAGATGCCAGGGATGAATTTATTGAGTGCCGAAGTCATCAATGGAAGAACTGCCACTCTCATGTCTCTTTGGTTTGTAAAATAATGAAGGCTTTTTCCTAAGTCTTCTTTAATTTTGGGTGTAATATTTACTGTGTGTTAGCTTATAAGGAGATCTCAGCTCTCCAAACATGCTGAGGTGAAAAACTTTTATGGGGCCCCAAACAATCTTTGCTCTTGACAGAACAGTATGGTGTAGAAATTAACTTAGCAAGTTTTTGCGCAATTTACATTGCTGCCCGTATTTTCCTTAGAAACACTGTGGACTGTGGACACTCTAGTCCTCATATGAATATGGAAGCTTTGAGGTACAGAGGGGGTAACTGTGACAACCTTGAGTATATCTTCAAGCAGCATGAAAATTTTTCTTGTTTTCAAGGGATGCTGCCAATATATTTGAATCTCCAGCAGACTCCCTAGAGCTCCCTGAATCTCAGTTGGCTGAATGTGACATGCAGATGATTGATGGCGCTTACTTTGGCCTTCCAAGATCAATAAAAGTAACAAGCTGAGTACTTGTTGCCAGGATTCCAGGGTTAGATTTTCAAGCATTTTCTCTTTTAATTCTCACAACAACCTGGGCAAGTGGAAACTCATATCAAATCGCTGATAAAATTCAGTATCAGAGAAATGAAGTCAGCTCCCCAAGTTTACACCACAGACAAGTGTTAGATTCAAGGGGCTGGATTTTAACCCATTGTTTTCTCTAGCGCCAGAAACAGTCTCTACCCCTGATGAGCAGCCCTCACTGGAGCAGGTACGGTATGAGGACCAGGGTGGCTCAGCTGCAGCTCCTGTTTCCATGGTTGCAGTTATGCTTTTCCTCCCATTCCCTTCACATTTCAGACCACTTACCTTTGGCCTCCCTCTGTTGAGGGGAACGCCATCATTTCTCAGCTGCAGTGGTTTCTCCAGGGGAATCTTCTTTCAGAGTGAGCTGCATTTGTCTGCCTCCTTTTTGATCCCAGCACAGAGTTTGACCCACAGGAGACCTCGGATATTTGGGCTGGGCCTCTGCAACTGCGCCCACATGTTGGGTGTCATGCTGTGATCCCATCCACTGTGATGAATTTGTTGCCTCAGCTTGACCCTGCAAATGATGCTCCTATGTGGCACTGACATTCACCCTGCAGGAGTGGATACAACTGGACATGAATTCTGGGGCCTAATATTCGGAAGTGATGCTGGAGTCCTACATGATCCCAGTCCCTGGATGGGTGCTCACCTCTTATTCATGCATAGGACCCACCACCATGTGATTCTGTCCGCTATGTCCCTACTGGCTGAATGAGACAATGGCTCTCACTGTTTTCTCTGTAGCCCAGATCATGTTATGGGCCCACTTCCTACTTCCCAGTCTCCTGTGTCTGCACCCTGGGTCTTTGGGTTGGAACAGAATCCTTTTGAGTACGAGCCTTCACTGCAGTGCACAGCACACTGCACCACAACTGAGGTCCTTACTGTGCTTTTCCTGACAATCTACCCTAACTGACTATCCACAACATTTTTTTTTAATACATATTTTATTGATTTTTTTACTGAGAGGAAGGAAGAGGGATAGAGAGAAACATAAATGAGAGAGAAACATCGATCAGCTGTCTTCTACACACTCCCTACTGGGTATGTGCCTGCAACCAAGGTACATGCCCTTGACTGGAATCGACCCTGGGACCCTTGAGTCCGCAGGCTGACGCTCTATCCATTGAGCCAAACCGGTTAGGGCTATCCACAACATTTTTTGACGGTGAAGGTGGTCTTTCAGGTGAAGGTGTTTGCTATTTTGGCTAGTTACTCTTTTTCTGAGTTGTTTCCATGTATATGGAGGTATACATGTTAATAACTTTTTGGTGGTTTTTGCCCCGTTAATCTGTATTCACCAATTTAATTATTAGAGCAACCAAAGAACCTAGAAAAGAGGAAGGAAATATTTTGACTCTACAATGTCATTTTTCTCATTTTCACCCACTTAACTCCTTAGAATAAAGGAATACTGTTAGGGTTTGTCAAGTGATGTGGGCTGTGTAAGAATTCACAGCAAAGAGAAGACATGCAGAGAGAGTTTATTTCACTTTCCAAGATTGGAAAGGGCCAAGTATTGCTAGTCAGTACAGGACAGGGAAGAAAGGGTGGCTTCTGCTTTCCAGCAGTGCCTTTGGGTAAGGACAAGCAATGCAGAGGCCTTGGGCCGTGCTGAAGTTTATATGAGGGGCTTTCTTTAAAATTTTGTTTGTTTGCTTTCCAGGAGATAGTCTGGCAGATGTATAGGGGAGGTGCGTTATCAGTATTTTCCCCAACCCTATAAAATAATACAACAAAAGTTATGAAGAGTTCAAAAGAGGGTGGTTTGAATGGGCGGAGGGAAGAAACTTTCTACTAACTAGAGATTCCTTGGTACAAATTATCCCTGAGGTGTGAAAACAGCAGGGAGAATGGGTGGCAAGAATGCAGCCTTGAAAGTAGCTTATCATGTTCTGCATTTTGAACAGAGGAGCTGTTTGAATTAAAGGAGCCAACAATCTTGGGGTTTAATTAACAGGTGCATCTCATAAATAGTGGAAGGTCACAGCCAAAAAAAAAGATTTTTTTTTTGTCATTACAAATACCTCGACCACTTTTAGAATCTAAAGCTTAAGTTATTTATCTCTTTTAAAATAATTATTTTATTGATTTCAGAGAGGAGGGAGCAGTAGAGAGAGGTAGAAACACCAATGATGAGAATCATTCATTGGCTGCCTCCTGAACATCTCCAATGGCATGGAGCCCAAAACCCAGGCATGTGCCCTTGACTGGAATCGCACCTGGTAGCTTTTGGTCTGCAAGGCTTTGCTCTATACCCTGAGCTGAACTGGCTAGGGCCTAAGGCTTTATTGACATAAAGAGTGAATACTTCTAGGAGTCCAGGTAAAGGGACACCAACAATACTGGGGGCATCGTGTTAAGGAGGATGTCAGCAATGGGTCCTGGAGGAAATCAACCACTCATTGAATTTTCTCTTGAACTCACAGGTTTTAACTCCCCAGTATGGACAAAAATGATGGCCCATAGTAAACCTAGCAAGCTCAGGGAGCCTGTCATGGCATGGTCAATCTTACAAACTCAGAGGCCAAAGGTAACCATATAGGATGGTTTGAATTAAAACTTTGTAAGTAAAAGCTTATCTCGGGTAGTTATGTCCTAACCTTGTTTTAGTGTTTTGTTTTGTCTTTTTGCAAAAGTCAACTTTTACCTTATTGAGCCTGCCTATTGTCTTTTTGCATCTAAGATAACATGCCTTTGGATTTTCAGGAAAATTTCCGTTTTACAGACTCCCTAAGGGCACGATCTCTCAAGACAACAGTCCACACAGCCCCAGTTGTTATTGTTATAAGTTAAATATTAACTGTTAACTAATCAATAACCTTTTACAAAAAAAGTCTGTGTCTATTTTTTTTTAACTTTTTGTCCAATCTGTCAGATTTCCCTCCTCAGCCCTCCCCTAATTTATCACCAATGAATTTCATTTAACCCCCATATGGCTTCTCCTTTGAGTCTAATGTATAAAAAAGGTGCAAAACTGCCATTCTCCTGGGCATTAATCTGTTGTTATTTTGCTTCTTGTTCATTGTTGCCAGCATGGGTCAAATTGAAGCATAGTGGTCGCTCCTTTGAAAAAACTGCTCTTTGAATTACTCTGTTATTCTTAGACAGTCTCTTATTGTGTAGGTCAACATTGTTAGTTTTAGACTGTAAAATAACTTTGTTTTTTGTTTAAATAGAAAAGATAAACCTTTAATCTCCAACATTTATAGGGAACTCATACAACTTAACAAAAG